TGCTGCGCTTAGCAGTTTTTCTCTCTTTGCTAAGACCCCACCCCCGTTCTGCCGTGCATTCACACAAGCTCGTCAGGTAAGTGACTCGCTGTCGTTCCCCATCTCCTAAACCCTCTTGTGCCATGAGGATTAAGTTTTCCAATGTCTCTTTCCTTCGTCACCATTTTTCCAAAAGTTTTTCCAGCTGTCTTCATGATTTTAAGTAAAAGTGTTCTGTTTTGTTTTACGGTATATCAACCTCAATGGGTTATTTAATGCCGGCAAATTTTTTATTGCTGGTAATGTTTTTCTTCAAAAATCTATTTCTGGGAATATTTTTCCTTGAAGAAATCTATAGCTGGTCACATTTTTTTCCAAAGAATGTATAGCTGTTTGTATTGCTGGTATTTTGTTAAAGTATTGCTGATAATAATTTTTCCTTCAAAAATTATTGCTGGTAATAATTTTTTTTTTATTACTGAGTAATTTCTGGTATTAGAACCTATTTGTACGCAAGTTTGGGTTTTAACTATTTGCCCATAGCTGGGACGCTAACAGGTTGCACCACCCCGGATCAGAGTGGACCTGGGAACACCAGCAATCAAGAGGTGGTTCCACGCTCCTCAAAACCTCCTGATCAGAGGCCTTGCTGCTGGATGTAGTTTATCGTCATACCCATGACTGTAAAAGTGTTCTGATGCCAGAAATACTACTCGTAATATTAATACGAATAGTAATGTACCTTACAACTGTCAAACATTTAAGACATATATTGTCTTGTTCAATGACAGAATTTTTTTATCTACATGAATAGAAGATGGTGACAAGATATCGAAACTGGTTAATTTGCAAGGTATAAGATTAAAGTCTCTATTTACACACGTGCCACATTTCACAAACCTCGTAATTACATAAATTTCATGGAAAATGGCTATCGATTTGGACAAGATAAAATACCATACATTATAGTCTATGATAAGCTAAAGATATACTTCTTCATGCTACGATCATCGAGGATAAACTGAAAAGAAAAGAGTCAGAAAAATAATGAAGTATTAGAAGTAAGAGATCTGTACGATGAGGAATGTAAAAATAAGAACTGTCATTTGACACCCGATAATATCAGGACTGAAGTTAATGACCATCTTGAGCAGTTGACAACGAACATACGAAAAAATTGCAGTCATGCTCTTCTGAACTGTCAGCTCAAGGAAGAAATTTATTCTGTAAAATGAAAGTGTAGTTACTTGTTCACATTTGGCTACTTCATAAAAACCGACAAAATGTCGTGATACATAAAATAAAAATAACGTAACCAGTTCAAATAGTTTGTATTCGATTGGGACGAGAAGATATTTTCTATTTCGTTTTAATAATTTTTCTCTAAGTACAAGGCCCAAGAGCCACTCAATGTAGAGGGTTACTGAATTAGGTTTCTGTATGAATGTAAGAGAGACAGGTAAAAAGCGCAAATTAAAAGGATATATAGAATAATTTAAGATTATAGGGATCAGGGAATCAGGAATGTTCGACAAAGCAGTGGTTCTTGGGAATAGACTGTCTGGATAGATCTTCCTCTTTACCAATGGTATACAAAGGGAAATGGGAAGGATTCGGTACGGTGTGCGTGGCGTGTCAGATTTATGGAGACCCTAACTGGTGGAACTAAAATAACTGGGAAACACGTTGGATGGTCCTGATAATAAGACTGTATCAATTTAACAGTTTCACAGCCGGCCGCAATTTTTTTCCCTAAAGATTATGTCAAGACAAGACTAAGTGGTATAATACAGTTGGAAATCTACCTTTGGATAATAAAATAGCACGGAAACCATTTTCTAGCCACTAGACATTGAAACGGTTCCTTGGGCCTAATTTTTGATTACTTAAATTATTCTGCACATTAAAAAATTTTGATCAGAAAATTTATATTTCAGTATCTGTCTATATTTCTGAGATGAGGTATTATGTACACTATTTACATTATTCGGACTATTGTCCTCATCTTTGTCGCCATGTTTATCACAACGTTTCGTCCGTTGTACGCTCCGGCCTTCTTGTCGAACATTCCAACTACCTGAAGAAAGCCGAAACGTTGTAATAAAGATGAGGAAAAAATCTGAATAGTGTAAATAGATTAATATTTTGTCATAAATGCAGAGCACCCAGTGAGGAGCAAACTTCGTTGATAAAAGTTTGTTCAATATAACCATACTAGTGACTGCCCCACTTCTTTTAGAAAATAAATTAGAAATGGTAAACTATTTCTCTGGTCTTAAATGTACGCGATTGTTATATAATTGGGGGAAATGAGAAAATTTAAAAAGGATATTGGGTGGGGAGTCAGACAAACGAGCCGTAACTACAACTTGAAATGGATTCGTTAAGAATACAGATTGAATTAATATTTATTCAACAATTAATGTCTCAAACACACTTTCAAATAATTGTGTGTGTGTGTCTCTTAAGTGTGATTAAACACCGTCATTTCACACGCACGTTATATAAACTATTCCTCCTTTTTGCGAAAGTGTCAGAGACCAAGATGAAGGCCGTGCGAATATTGACCGAATTGTAAGCGCTTTTGGCTTTCGTAAGCTATTTTGAAAGACAGATTATATTTTATCCAAACAAACATAATCTTCCTTTGAAAATGTCTTATGAACGCCGAAAGTGTTTAGAATTCGGACAATATTCGGACAGCCTTGATCCTGATGTCAGACGCTTTGTCAGAAATAAGAAAAAGAATGTGAAAAGATGCTTTAAGAAATTGATTGGTTTTTAATATAAATCGTATAACAGAATAATAATGGTCCAAATATACTTCCTGCGAGAGAATTATATATATATATATATATATATATATATATATATATTAGACAAAAGTTGCTGGACAAAGAAAGCCTTTTATGAAATTCTGATCTTTGTCATTTTATCAGATTTGGGAAAGTGAATCGGGATAAGAAATTTGAATCACTTCCACCTCTCTGTATACGAGCCTCTCTCTCTCTATATATATATATATATATATATATATATATATATATATATATATATATATATATATATATATATATATATATATATGAGCACACATTGATTTCTAAGAAATCAATGGATTCCTGTATTATTTACTTATACTCTAAACGATATTTTGTGGATAACCATGTTTGAGTTGGGCACCTCGAGGTGGTGTAATGGTTAGCAAGCTTGTCTCGCTAGAACAATTACGACTGAGTAAGGAGTTCGATCCTCACTGGGTGCCCCTTACTTTCGGCCTTGTGCTACATCCAAGCTACGCTTGGAAAATCACTATCCATTTTTGAGTAGACGCCATTTTTTTTAACAGTGTGAATTACGCACTCGAGGGGCTTAATAAATAGTTTGAAATCGCCGGATCAATGAGTGGGTTCTTCTACAAAGTGGTCAAAGGTTCGAATCCTACAAGGGAGTATATTTTCTTTGTCAAGTCTCTTGAATATACAGTGCAGTAGACGTAATTCATATTATTTCATAAAAACAAACTAGGCGTCTATTAAAACATAGGTATGTATAAATTAAGTAGTAGGACATTATATATATATATATATATATATATATATATATAAAGGTTCGAATCCTGTCAAAGGACGAATATTTTCTATGAAAATTTCTCGGATATTCAGGCCGGTAAATGTTATTTAATACTGTTTATTATAAACAGAGCATTTACTTAAATAATTGTATCTATAAAAAAGAACGTTAAACATAAAAAAATGTCTTTAATAAATAAATTGTCGGACTTTGTCCATTTCTTAATATATGACGTCATTTGTTTACATTTGATACGCCAGAGCAGTTATGAATGTACGAGATTCATGGAAGGTTGAAGTTTATAAGCAGTAAATTCGACCTTGCCTACCGAACGCTCCTTTGTGGCCGACCGGTAAGGCACGTCAGCGTAAATGACGGTTCCGTATAGGATGCAGGTTCGAATCCTGTCAAAGGACGAATATTTTCTATGAAAATTTCTCGGACATTCAGGCCGGTAAATGTTATTTAATACTGTTTATTATAAACAGAGCATTTACTTAAATACTTGTATCTATAAAAAAGAACGTTAAACATAAAAAAATGTCTTTAATATATATATGTGCATATATATATATATATATATATATATATATATACAGATTTAGTTTCAGTTACTTTTGATCTGCACTTATGTAGATTCAGATCTGATTAGTCTTTTGGTCGGATTATATGATTCAAAATTTGGCAGTTAAATCATGCTTCAAAACCTAATTAAAACATCTGATCCATGTATTAATCACATCCCTTATCATTTAAGTGCTCTAAATTAGAAGTATAATGGGTTACTCGAAATACAAATAAATATGGATAAAACTTATTGATAAAAATTTGATCACATTAAAAGAAAATAAAGCAACTTGTACCAGATTACAGATTGTGCACTTGCATAGATAAGAGTTAGCCCATTAAAGTCCACCGTAATAATAATAGTGAGAATGAGATTTAATGTTATAAACTTGTAAATAAACCTTATTATAAACTTATAAGAAACTATTATAACTTTATAGTAACGGTGTGATTAATCGTTTCCAGACAGGAAATATTTGGTACTCAGTGACCAAAGATTTAACGTTACTGCTCATTAAAATTAAAATTAATAAAATCTTTCTCTTAAAAAGATTTAAGAAAAATGGGTTCTTATCTCAAATGTTATCGTTCTTTCTATTATTTATATGCGATTTCTTTCTTACATTTTATTATTTTATTCATTTCCTACAGCTTAAACCTTTTTAGGCTATTTAAAACAAGAAAATAGTTTTAGATTGTAATTTCTTTGTTTAGGGAGATAAAGGTTTAGAAATACATAGCTGCGGGAGAAGAAGTGGGTGCATACCTTTCTCAAGAGTATTTGCGCGTAATTGAATAAAGCGAACCCAACAAAAATTGGAATTCAACTCTTCGATTAAAAATTCCAAGCCATTATCCATTACACCACCCGCACATCCAAGCTTACAGCACCTGGTATTCCCAAGCGGTCACCCATCTCGGTACTGACCAGCCTCAACTTCGGTGATCGTATAGAAACCTGTGTTTCAATATGATGTGGCCGTAAGCCTTTTGTCTAATGTATTGTGAGAAATCAATATCTTGATTAGGTCACCATTTTCGAGATACACGTGTTAGCTATTTTAATTGAAAATACAGGTGATAATCTACAATTGAATGTAGTTTATGCACACTTCAGTATTAATTATAAGCTTCAAGATGTAACCCAGTAGTGCCTATTGCTACCCCTACTACCCATAAAAGTGGAGTGTGTGGGTATTAGTGGATTAAAAATACTCATACATCTCATCATAGATTAAGGTACACATGTTTTACTCACCATAAAGAATCTCTGTCTTCCATCAACATGGCTGATGCTAGCTTCCAGGAGATAAATTCACTGATCCCACGTTTGCAATGACAAAGAGGAACGATTATATCGAATCAATTGCTAGTTTTGCATCGAGGAAAGTTGGTTCACTGTGTTTTTCTCATCAGAAGCCATCTTGTACATTTATGAATTTATGTCCGTGCATTGAATATTGCTACCATATAGAGCAGCTGCACCTAAAAAAATTCTCTCGACAAAATCCAAAGAAGGGTCTGTGATGTAATTGTTCCTGACCTGGCATCTCGTCTTCAGTCGCTTTCAAACAGCTGCAACGTGGCTTCCCTCTTCCTTTTCTATAAATATTTTCATGGCAATTATTCTAATGGGTTCTCCTCCTCGGCACCTCCACTGCATGAATTTAAACGCACTACTAGACTAGCAAATAGGTCTCATCGTTCGATTGCTCTATATTAACCCTATTCTAATAGTTTTTTTTCCTCATACTTCTCTACTGTGTACATTTCTTCCGTTTTTTGTTTTCTTGTTATCTACGTTCTTCAAAAATGTAAATATAACGTCAATCGCTATTTTCTATCATTCTGAATGCTATTCCTCTAAAGTCCTCTTATTCACTTTCAGTCCCAATAACCCCTTGCCTCTTAGTGGCATTATCACGTTGGTTGGGGTGAAATGATTAAACAACAACAAAAATAAATAATAAATAAATATAAAATAAAAAAATAAAACAAAAAATGAAAATGATAAAAATTTTCGACTTCGGTAGAATGACGTAATGCCCAACAACCGGTTGAACAGTGGATAAACACTTGCGTCGTGTTTTGCTATTGGTTGTCTTATTTTGAAGTACCAATCAGAAATGCCATAATATTCTGGATGATTTTCTATGCGTAGCTTAGATGTGGCACGAGGCCGAAAGTATGGGGCACCCAGTGAGAATCGAACTCACTATTCAGTCGTAACTAACCTTCCGAGACAAGCTTGCTAGCCATTACGCCACGCCGAAGTGCCCAAGCCGTAATATTCTGATGTTATTGAACTTTATACCAACATGTCCGCGTCTTTTGTGTTTTGTGGATGCATTTTGGATAAAAAAGACCATTTTATTACCATGAAGCATGCAGTGTCTCAACCTGGACAGGCAGTGAAACAATCAGGGACCATTTTTGTATCTACAGTGAAACGTTACATAATTATTTGCGAATTTTGACTCGGGAGATCAGGTAGAAGGGTTAAAATTGTTCAGGAACGCAAGGCTCAAAGGGTTAAGTTATTGGTTACATACTAACTATGTAATGTTTAAAGGCAATTGTTGGGGTTATTTAATAAGTGCAGTATAGTGTGCTAAAAAGTTAAACTAGTCGTAAATATGAGCGTACATCAATAATTTCATCGAACTTCAACCGAGACGTCGACTTTGAGTAAACTTTTTGATAAAACTTGATAGAAAACTTAAAAAAAAATATTCCGAAATTTCTTTATGAGAAAACTGACAACAGTACTTAGAATGCTTGACACCGAGTCCCTCACCGATGATTCTATTAAGGTTCGTTTGAATTAAATGCATATTGATTAAGCAACAAGCAGTTGTCATGTGCTCACGGAATTTTTATGATTGTCAAGCTGTCCCCGAGTGACAGTTTACATTACATTTTATCACTTGGATACAGAAGACACTAATGCAAATTATTTAGAAAAAGTAAAAGAAATAAATGAAAATTAAACACGGATCATGTAACCAAAGAACACCAAAGTCATAATCGGACAGAAACTGAAAAATTCTCCCTTGGGCAAAACAGAAAAAACAAAACAACAACAGCAGACGACAGTGTGGTGCTGAAAATTCTCAGTCCGATCCAATTCATAATTTCTGACCAGATGATAAAACGGTAGAATATTTTGGAATTTTTTTTGTAGGTTCGGCAATATTTCATCTAAAATAGTGCCAACGTGGTGATTGTGATGTTTTCGCTATACAGACGATAACGTTACAATAATTTAAACATTATGAACACTAGATTGAATCAATTATAATAATATTAATAAAACGACTCAGTTTTAGATCGACCGCAGTCGATATTATAAAGATTTATTGTGAACTTTAGTATGCGCTACGTCAGGTAAATATTCAGCTTTTGAATTCAAAGTTGTACTTCTCCTGGACTGATTGACAAACACGGTTAGGGGACTCAGTCAGCACTGCTATTTAACCCACAGTTACGGGGGAGAAGAGATAGTTTCATATATTTCACAAGGGTATTTTGGCGAAAGTGAATGTATCGAACTTGTCTGGTATTCATAGTCAGATCACCAATTTCTCATCCCCAGTCTCTAAACATTTCACGCCACCTGCACAGCCATAAGTCTATCATTCTGAATACGATAGCTGAGCCATCACTAGATTTTGCCAATTACAATCAGCGAGTAGGTGTGTGGCTCCGTGGTTTTCTCTGAACGTGGATTCTACATTCTCGAGAGGCTGCAAGACATTCTTTACCCCTTTCAAATCGCAGTGGTAAATGATTTATTCACAGTTTATCCGGTTTGTCCTACGTGTGCGCATTCTTGTATTTGGGGGAAGTCAATGATATCCTTTAAGATGCGAACTTTTTTGTGCCACATCTAAGCTACGCTTAGAAAATAACCATTTGGGCACCTCGACGTGGTGCAATGGTTAGACAGCTTGCTAGAACATTTACGACTGAATAGGGAGTTTGATCCTCACTGGGTGCCCCATCTAAGTCGGGCTTAGAAAATCACTATATTAACCTTGGTTTAATTCTATTAAGCCTAGCTTATGCAGCACGTGGGTCACCTGAAATGATGCTAGAACAGTCTTTGCACTAAATGCTCTTCAGTGAAGGCAGGTGCAAGATTAGCTCAACGATGACCTCCTAGCCAGAGATAGAGATCTGCGATTTATCCTATCAGTGGTTGCCCGGACATGTGAAAATCTGATCGACTCAATATCACTTGCGATATGTGCGCGTAGGTAAAGTAATGTGAGAGACAGCTATATAAATACACACCCCATATTATATATATATATATATATATATATATATATATATAGACGGGAATGTAGGGTATACGTTCGGAGGAGGAATCAAAGTTACATATCTACAGTCAGACGGTGATTGAAAGAAGTCTGAAGTTAAATTAACAATGTTATGATTCAACCAGGTGATTTCAGTAGCCGGCACAAGGATAGTATAGTATTTAGATTTGGCATACGGCCAGGAGTATGGTCACCTGTGTGCAGGTAATGGTCAACGACATAGGTATGATTACCATTACCCCATCTCGAGGAGCCCCACAGTATTATTATTATGCACTTTAGTTTTCCGACCATGATTGACTGATTGTTTCATTTTTTAAGTCAGGAATTTTTTAGACTAAGAATTATTTTTTGAAATGTTTTTTTTTCTTTAAGAATAATGTGTTCTCATCTCATCTGTTATCACACTTTCTAGTATTTATATGGGTTTCCTCTTTAACATTTCTTTATTTTCTAAGGCTTATCAACCGATTGTAGGCTATTTAAAACCAAAAAATACTTTTTAGATTGTAAATTTTTGTGGGTAGATAAGCGTTGAGGAATACATAGCTATAGGAGAAGAGGTGGGTTCATGCTTTCCCAATAGTATTTGCACATAAATGAATATAACGAACCCAACAGGAATTGGAACTCGGCTCTTCAATTAACAGTCATTATCTATTACACCATCCGCATATCCAAGCTTACAGCACCTGGTATTCCAAAGCGGTCACCATCTAGGTACTGACCAGACTCGACGTTGCTTAACTTCGATGATTTTACTAGAACCGGTGTTTCAACTCAGATTCTTACCAGAGATAAGACTTTTGTTTTAGACCAGACTTAAGGAAGTGCCTGAACATCATAGTACCGGTTGACAAAAACCTTGTGAATCAAACTGGGCATAAGAAAAAGCTCAGAAGCCGCTGTGGGTGTTGAAGAAAGATAAATGTGCCTGATTAGGTATCTGCAGCCAGGGTTATCTATCCACCCTTGTAGACAGGAGGACTCTGATACGAGCGGTTAGTCCTTATATAACAATTTTGTGTTTAACTTTTTAGACGGAAATAAAATCCATTTCTGGGCCCATTTTGTTGAAACAGCGAGCTCGATCCTCACATATTAAGCGAAGATTTATGAGTAATTTTGCTATACAAAACATTTCAACAGCGAAATGCATACTTTTCTCAAAACTCTTCTTTGTCCTTTGTACCCCTTGATTTCTCACACAACCAGAAACGTTCTCATTATTGCCTGTGTAGCGAGTGACAAAACGTTATCACCCCTTGACCCTAAACAAAAATAGCAATAAAAAATTAATTATAAATATACACGGGAATTAAAAAAAAAAAAAAAACAACAACAAACAAACCAAAAAAAAAAAAAAAGTTGCACGAGCTGACGAGACCCGCACTAGACATCTTTAGGCAGGAAAGTCAATCTTCCTCTTTTTGCTCCTTGAAGTTACGATAAAAAGACGTAGATTTTCAGGCCAAACAGATAAGTACAAAATCTATATTGATTCTGGCATCCAGTCTTTTTGCAAGTAGATATATACAAACCTTGTATTAAAATTTCGAAATTTATAATATATATATATATATATATATATATATATATATATATATATATATATATATATATATACACACACACACACACACACACACACACACAAGTG